ATGAATAATCTTCTTTTCCACCAGTAATCACAGGGAGTCACAGAAAAAAGGGACAAAGTAAAGCTGAAGCCAGACAGAACTAATCATTGAGACGATGGGGGAAATAATTGAGATTATTTCAAAGAAAACCTCCACACCTTCCAGAATACGGAGTCAAACTCGGCTCCATGGAATCTGTCAGGCATACCAGCTGAAGACAATTTTGGTCCGAGAAGTGCTACGAACTCTTCAAAGTCAACCTGACCGTCACCTGCGAAATAAAAGATACACAAACACCGGCCAGCTTCACTGTAACCTTTTCTTGAAGGAGATTGTAATCTTATGCTGATCCAGCAGAACAGCCAGACTCTAATCTTTTGATTCATTATCAGAAACATCAGTCCTTTGTTCAATGATTCACAATAACCATTACAATATTGAATTGTTTTGCTGTTGCAGGTGTTTTGTATTGAATTTGCAATTCCACCATGCCTCTCTGATAAATGCTCCCTTAGCAGGGTTTACATCATGTAATCAAAACAAGACAAATGAATAGTGCTATAGAGAATATCACACAATTATCAGCGTACGTTATGTTATAAAATACACAGAGCATGTGTGTCCAAAGATATGAATGTTTCTGTAGTTTTTGCGAGGGCTGATATACCATTCATGTCCAGTCTCTGAATGATCACCTCCAGCTCCACTTCATTTGGCATGTAACCAAGAGACCGCATGGCCACTCCTAGCTCCTGTTTTGAGATGAACCCGTTCCCATCCCGGTCAAACATCTTAAAGGCTTCACGGATTTCTGCAGATGTGCCAGATATAGTACATCGCCATGTTACAACAAACAATGACACAACATTTTAATTTTAAACATGACAACATTATCTATATCAGTATGCTTGATTGGAAAGTTGGACCACTTTGAGACTTCCTCCCAATTAATCAGAGTGAGTTAAATTAGGATAAATAAGTGCTATGACTGATTGCCCTTTAAATATCAGGAGACAATCAAATAAAACATTATTAATAACTGTCATTAAAAGTAATTAATATGTGTCACAAGGAAACGTTATATTATTCTGAAATTTTTTTAATTTGCCAAGCCATATTTTCATTAGCCATGACATTACGTGATATATATATATATA